GCTGAACCAGCTGTACAATTTATTGGATCAATTTTTTTACATTTTACTTGAGTTCAAACTCTTTATCAACGTGAAGAAATTGCAGCAACTTAGAAAAACTGGCTTAAAACAGATCCAAGCGAATGAAATCACTTATTTACAACAAACAATAATAATATACAAGAAAAAAGAAATCATAAAAAACAAAATTGAATCTAGGAAATGGATTATTGGAATTTGGGTTTTTAATTTCTTTTTTCTAGCATTCCAGACTTACAAAAAAAAAGCTCATAATCCAGTCACTCAAATAATGTTCAAAATAATAATAATTTTAAAATAGAAAATAATAATATGTACATTAAAAATTGAGACTTCTGAGATGAGATCAAAAGAAAAACAAACACCAACTTATAGAAACTGACTTGAAAAAGATCTACTGCGAGAAGTCTTTAAAAACTAATACACCTCAAGCTCAAGTCGTCATCCCAATCAATCCCCTACTTTTTGAACGGAGATCGAATTTAAAACTAAGTATGTATTACAAATAAAATGTGATCAGATTCAAAAAAATATGTATATTTTTTTTATGTGAATTAAGTATATTTAAATTTAGTTTTCAAAAAATCGATCCCCATCCAAAATTTCGGGAATATCAAGAACTAAAATTAGTTTCTGAATTAGATAATAGTAAAACCTTAAAATGACTAAGATTTCTTCTGGACCAGCTTTACATTGTATTAAGTGTGTTTTGATAGATTCCGGTTTGAAGCGTAACCTTTAAAAACTCACTTAAAAAGGTCACCCGCAAGAAATCTCTACATTATAATTGTGCACACTTTGCGATGAAATTAAATTAGGTAACAATACTTTGATAAGCACTAAGTAATAATATCAGCTAAAATCTGCTAGGTATACATAGTTAATACTAATGATTAATAACACTCTATTTAAGACTTTTGCTGGACCAACTGTACAATTAATAAATCAGTTTTCATAGGTTTCGGTTAAATTAAATCCCCAGTGCCAGTAAAAAACCGCTTCAAAAATGGCAACCCGCAAAATTCTCCACAAACTATTTCACCAAAACCTCTTAAGTTACCTTTTGAATAGAGACCGAATCAAATAAGCGTGAAATTAAGCTTCAACAACTAGTAGTAATATTTAAAAATATCGGAGACCTCGACAAATGGTGGAACAATGATTTCCTGGAATACCAAAGGCTGAATTGGCTATAGTTTGAAAAGTGTTGTTCAAAAGCCGGTCTCTATAAACATAGGTAACTCTTATGAATTAAAATCTTTCCTAAATTAATATTAACTTAATTAGGATTTCTGCTGGACCACTGTACAATAATTATTAAGTTCGTTTTCATAGGTTCCGGTTAAATTAACGGCCATTGGCAAAAAAAGTCGTAGCTTATGAAAACTCACTTAAAAAGGTCAGCCGCGAGAAATCTTGCAATGATTTTTTAGTACCTTTCATCTTTTTTCACACTTTTTAAATAAAAAAAAAAGACTGTATTTAGTATCAAACAATTTCGGTTGAAAATATTTGATTATCTACACGAGAAAACGATATATATGAACAAAATTGAATTATTTTTGGGCTGATATTTCTATCCTAAAATTCGAGCTCCATTTATTAAAATAGATATGCCACTTGATTTTATAGCCAGTTAAAATTGATAAAATATCCGAAAATTATTAGATATTTACTGGGTCTGCTATACAATTCAGTTTCAATTCAAAGTATCCTTTCACCTATTGAAACTTTTCCAAAAGCCACTTCCAAAAATCTCTTATGGAAGGAGACGATACTCTGATGAAGTGTGAGTAATTTTTTGTTTCACTCACAGAGAAGAGATTTTCAAATTTCAAAAATTGGAGAGTTTGAAATGGAAAATTTACGAAGGATGAACCGCAAGGGTAATCTGGTGTTCAAATTAAGAGGAAATCTAAGGCAATCAGAGGCAATTATCATCATTTTGCCTTCAACAATATGCACAACAACAAACGAAAAACAATTCTGGAAAACACACTTTCACTCTTGAATAACAGGTTTAATAAATAACAATCTAACAATTCAAGTGACTAACTGAAATCCTAATATATGTGACGTTTACGTTGACGTTTAGTTATCGGGTGTACTGGTGTATAGCACCAGTACCTGGTCTCGAACGGGTTGCTACATTCCGTCCTGTTTTTTCAGCCTAAGAGGTTCAAGTCGGCCTGTGACGTGAGTCCCTCCAAGATCTTGGCTCCATTTTGGTCTCCAGGCCCTGGTGAATTGTCTTCTTGCTTCTTTTCTTCCGGTGTTTGGGGTACTGATATATTGTCTGATATTTTTTTTAAGTGAGAAACATGTGTTTCAATTATTTTTCCATTTTAAAGTATTTTCGCCTCATTTTCATTTATTTCCATTATTCCATATTCCCTATTTTCATACTAAGTTGCGAGTTTGTGGACAAATATTGTTTGCTGCACGAGGTCTTTATCTCCAGGTTTTAGTATGGTGTCTCTTCTTGGCTTCTTTTTGTCCTCTCTTTCCTTTCTTTTTTGCTTTTTGATTACATCATTGTCATCTGCTTCTTTATCAATTGTATTTTCCTTAAAAAGGTCATTTATTGAAGGAACTTTATCTCGGATTTTTCTATTAAAAACAAGTTCCGAGGATGATTTACCTCTCGTACCTTGTCGTACATTGTACATCAGAATAAACTTTTGGAGTTCATTTTCAATAGTAGATGGTTCATATTTTCAACCAAACCGTTAGCTTGTGGCCAATAAGGTGGCGTGTGAATTAACTCAATTTTATTATCTTTGCAGTATTTCTTGAGCTCGTATCTTATGAACTGTCGCCCACTATCGGATCTAATAGATTTGGGAATGACAAGTTTTGAAAATAATTCAATGAGGTAATTTATTTTTATTATGGATGTGGCTGATTTTAAGTATTTTATTTCCTGATACTTCGAGAAGTAATCAATGATAACTAAAATTCCAGCAAAATGGACGATTATGAGGCAACAATATTAAAAGATTCACCTATCACCACAAAGTCAACGAGCAAGGACGAGGAAATGAGCAGTAACAGAGAATGACAAATCGAGACCAATATGGCGGCCAGTCGTTCTAGATCGACGTCATCAAGAAAAATGAAAAAATATGGTCAGAAATGCGGTGTTGTGGTGAAACGCATCCACCCCATGCAAGTATAGGACCTACCAGTGCGATATTTGTAAGAAAGCAGGTCATTTAGCTAAGGTTTGTTCAACAAAAAGAAGTCTTAATTTTGTAAAAAAAAATAATGGGTACGTACAAAATTTGGATTATTATTCTGATTCTGAAGATGATAAATTCTATATTGAACAAGAAACTACAGCAGCAAGTTTTGTTCCACTAAACCCCCGCATTATGCCATTGCTTATATCAGCATATTAATATTATATGAAGGAATCTAAGATTAGAATCTAGTTAGTTCCTTTGTACCGTTCTTGAGAAAATAAAGTTTTTCAAACAGGGTTTTCTGTTTATCAGTCACGTAACTGGCGAAGTCGGTAGTGCGTTTTCGAGAGTTAGTCCCGGTTTAGCAGAAAATTTGGGTTTTGCGGGTCGTCGAAAAACCAAAATTGACTTTTTGTGTTAACGATTAACTGTCTAACGAAAATCGTTCGTTGAAACCTGAAAAAATAAAACTCTTATAACGTGCGAATGAGCTCACGTAGTCGTGGATTGAGGAACAAAAATCGTCCGACAATCTGAGGTACAGACAGAGGAACAAGCATCGTCCATCAGCCCTATTGGTACGGATAGAGGAACAAGCATCGTCCAAAGTCCATAAGCAGCTAAGTTAAACCAAGTTTATGCCTATCAAAGCGTATTTGATATTATTACTGTGAGTAATCCAATTTTTTCATATTTTCCTCATAAAATTGAGTTTATCCATTTTATTTCGATTTATAAAAGTGTAAACATTTGTTTTATCACTTTTCAAAAAACTGGAACGTGATAACGAAATAGAAGACTTAGCAGGTTTTCTTGAAAACTTAGTAATAAATAATTTATTTGAAGAACTAATCAATATGGCTAATCCAAACTATCATTTAATCAAATACCAAGCTGCTAATATTCCACATTTTGATGGAAATACTAGAACCTTAAGTAGATTTATCACATCATCTGGACATTTCCTTCAAAATCATCAAAATAGGCAAAATCCAGCTGATCCTGTTTATTTGATACTGTCATTGGAAAATTAACAGGTAGAGCTGCAGATTTAATTGCATCTCGAACAGAGCTTGACACATGGCAAAAAATAAAAGATTCTTTAATTATCACATTTTCCGATCCAAGATCTGAAGATTGCCCTATGCAAGACATATTAACTATGAAATTAGAAAAAAGTGAGTGTCATAATTTTGGTTTGAAATTACAAGACGTTAGAAGTCCGTTATTTTCAAAAATTAATAATCCCAACGATCCTGTCAATGTGAAATTATTAAAAATTCAACAATTTGAAGATTTGTGTTTGAAAACATTTATCAATAATCTTAACTGTCACATCCTGATTCACTCCAACAAGCCCTTGCGATTATCGGAGAAGACAAAAATTTTCTTCAATTCAAAAACAAATCGAACCCCAATACTAAAAATATGCCTACTGGAAATAATAGTAGCAACAAAAACAAAAATCCTTTCAATAATACATACAATTTCAATAGATCAGTTTAAAGAACAAATAACAACAATAATCAGAATCGAAGTGTACCCGAACCAATGGATACTTCATCCGGCAACACTCGAATTAATACAATTGAAGACCTTAGAGCAATACAATGGTAAGCCACACTTTGCCATAAAACTGTTTTATTGTGTTAATCACTCGGCGAAAACTATGTTAAGCCACAAAAAAATTAATTTGACTGTAAGACAATAGATGGCGGAGCGATCGCTGTATCGTGTTGTTGCAGTCTGCCAAATTTCGTCTTTTTTTCGCGTAAAAACGTGGTAAGCCACATCAAAATGGCGTCGACCTCCGGTACACGTGCTCGTTCAAGTGCCGTTTTTAGTGGAAATAGCAGTTCAAGTTCTGATTTTTCTGAGGATAGTGATGACAGTTGTGCCGACAAAGACTTTGTACCAAGTAATGATAATACATCGTCAGATTCTACAGAGGTAGGCTACATTTTCTTTTTTTTTGGCTTACCATGTTCTTATGTAAAAATATTATGTAAATAATTTATGCAAAAGCATGGTATGCCAAGTGGCTTAACATGTTATTGTATAAACTTTTTTTTTTGCATTTGCATTTTAAGTCTTATTTCATTGTGTTTTAGGATGAATCGCAAGAGAATTTCACTAGACTTAGCAGGGGTAAAGAGGAGTCTCCAGAGACACCGAAGCCGACAAGATGGAGACATCGGGATAAAGAAAACCATGAACGAAACAAAAGAAAAAGGAGACGCAATTCGGGACATCAATATACGGCGACAAAAACTAAGAAGATTATCAATGCGCGTGAAATTGGTTTGCCTTGTGACTGTAAAAATAGATGCAGGGAGAAATTGCAAGGTAACCATGAGCAATTGTTTACAAAATTTTGGGATTTGGGTTCATTCGATCTCCAAAATAGCTATCTGTTTGGTTGTATAAGAGCAAAAAATAAGAAAAGGTCATACAAGAAAAAACAAAAGAATAATGTTTCCAGAAGAAAGTTTACGGCTGATTATTTGGTTAATATAGGAGACGAAGAAATAAAAATATGCAAAACCGAATTCTTGAGTGTTCACGGTCTTCAAAAATCTCGGGGAAGAGTTGAAAGGATTCTTAAAATAAAGGCAGGAGGGGCTATGGTTCCTAAACCTGATATGCGTGGCAAACACAATAATAGACACAATAGATATTCGGACGAACAAATTCAATCTGTTAAAACTCATATTGAATCAATACCTAAATATCAAAGCCACTACAGCAGAGCCAAAAATATCGGTAAGCTATATCTGAACTGCGATATGACTATTACTGGACTGTATACAGATTTCTATGTGCCCTGGTGTAGGGAACAAAATATCAGTCCAGTTAAAGAGAGCGCTTACAGAAAAATATTCTGTACTCAATATAACATAGGATTCAAACTACCAAAATCGGATACCTGCAAGACCTGCGATGAGACGGGTATTAAAATAAAGGCGGCAAAGGAAGCTAACAATATAGAGCTAGAAAAAGAGCTAACTACATTTTTGAACCTGCACCAGGCTAGAGCTGACGCAATGCAAAAATTGCTCAAAAGTGAAATAGACACACCTGATAAAAAAAAATTAGTAATCTCTTTTGATTTGCAACAAAGTATGCCACTTCCAAAACTAACAACTGGACCTGCATTTTACTGCCGATAGATTTGGCTTTATAACCTAGGAATTCACGATTGCACAAATAAGAAAGGTTTCATGTATTTGTGGACTGAAGATCAGGCTAAGCGCGGAGCTGATGAAGTTACTTCTGTTCTAATGAAATTTTTAGAAACTAAATTAGATTATGATGAACTTGTTATTTTTACTGATAACTGCCCGGGTCAGAATAAGAACTGGCAGATGATGGCATTTTGGTTGCAGTTAGTAAAGGAAAAAAAGTTTAAAAAAATAACACATCACTTTCTTGTTAGCGGTCATTCCGTTATGCCGTCAGGCAGAGATTTTGCTCTGATCGAAAAACGCCAGAGACACCGGGCTCCAGTGATTTATTCACCAGAAGGTTGGCTAGATATTATTGAAAAAGCAAATAAAAAAAACCCTTTTGTTGTTACAAAAATGACACAAAAAGATTTTTTTTCTTTTGAGCCTTTACTAACTAATATCAACAAAAAAGCACGTTTTCCTGACAAGCAGAATTTAGAATTTGCAGGAACGTACAGTTTTCTTTTTAAGTCAGAAAATGTTGGGTCATTTTTCGTTAAAAGTACAGTCAATGGCGAGTACAGGGAAATTAATGTTTTAAAACAAGGTAGACCTGCAATGATAAGCTTGTCAGATATTAAACTTAAATACAACGAGCCAGTAAAAATTGCAGAAAAAAAAATTAAAAATATACACACATTATTGCCTTATATACCGCCAGCCTACCATGCATTTTATACGCAACTAAATGTTGCTGTTAATGATTTAGACGAAGAGGTTGAAATCTTAGATGAGTAGTATTGTATTTTTTCAGTTATTTTTATAATGAGTTTAGTTTAAGCAAAAACATGTTAAGCCATATTTTTTCAAAATAAACTCCATTTTTTGTAAAAAAAAATTGTTTTTTTTTTTAAATATTAGTTGCTTATCTTTCTCCCTCTTTGATGTTATATACTGACAATGTTTGAAATCTTTAAATCAAAACCATTTTTTTACAGAATTTTTGAAAACTTTAAACCGTCATATCTCAACTTTTTGATTTTGAGGCTTACCATTGTATTGCTCTAAGGTCTTCAATTCAAAGACCTCGCCAAAATAATTTTGTTGCACAAGAATTATTTAATCAATCTGTGGACACTGTATCTGAAGATAATACAAAAAACCAAACGGAAATTGACTCAGTTCAAAACTCTAATTTTGACGAAACCAATAATTTTGATCCAAATGATTACAATAATTATTAGCAACCTTATCAACCTGATAACAATTACATTAATCCGTTTGATTACATGTAGGGGAAGTGTACCTAAAATGGGATACTGTCCTAAAACGGGATACCCTAATTATTTTGTAGTAGATACAGCGACATCTTTTGTGCAATTGACCTAATACTTCCTGTCGGTATATGAATAACCTTTAGCAGTTTGACCAAAATCGTGACAGGTGCAATGCAGCTAGGTGAGTTTTTAATTTTTAAACATATTTTTTGTAAAAATATAGATCTACAAACATAGGCTTTTTGTTTTTATGGCCAATGAAATGACGACGATAATTTTTTTAACAGTTGCTAGGACATAAATGATCACTTAACATGTGAAATTTTGAGGTTATATTTTGATATCGAAAACATGCAGGAATTGTTTATTTTACGTAGATGTGTTGATAAAATGGGACGCGGCATGTGTTTCTAAAATGGGATGCATCCCATTTTAGAACCACAATGCTCGTGTTCAATTTAAATATGAATAGCAAATAGAGGTAAAGCTGCCATCTTAACTAGCTCACCTTATAAGGATGAATGAATGCCAGTCTAGAAGCGAAACGACTCAAACTGCCAACCAGTAAACTGCCATCATTGAAAGGAAAAGGACTATTGAAGGGAGAATCAGTAAAGAAAACCTCCAAACCACAGAAAAAAGGTTCAACTGAAAAGAAGACTGACGAAGCAACAAACAAGACTAGAAACCAAAAAGATGTGAGAAGGGAAGACAAAACCAAAGAAAGAAATACCAAAAAAAATACCAAAGAAAACAGTGACGATGAAGAAAATCCTGTATGCTTTTATTGCCAAGGTGATTTTCTAGGCAGCAAGCCTGGTGACCAGTGGATTCGATGCAGTTCCTGCCAGAGATGGGTGCACGAAGCTTGCGGTCCATCAACCAACAAAACGCATTATTTCATTTGTGATCTGTGTTTGGAAATATAATCCCATTTTAGAAACACCACAGATCCCGTTTTAGATATATATGTTTCTAAAATGAGAAATTTGACTAGAGCAAGATTTTTTGTTTTTTCGTTTTTTATTTTATACTTGAGACTGTGATTTTTATTTTTTTAATAAAGTATTATTTGGTATATCCTTCATGAGGGTTGTCAGTTATTTTCCACTTGAACTTTTTTTTAAAACCAAGTCCAAACCTTAAGTATCCCATTTTAGGTACAATTCCCCTACAATATGTATGAGAACACCAATTTTCAAAATAATGATTTTCAGTGTCAAAATTTTCAATTGACCCCGAATTCCGATAGTGTGACATAATTTGTCTCGATAACTATAATACCTCTGATTTACCAGTCATAATAATTCCTGAATTAAATGCTAAATTTTTAATTGATACAGGAATTGGAACAAGCTTTATCAATTCGCCATTGACATATCCCGACGTTATTTTTAATGGATATTTTACATTTAGGACAGCCCATGCAATTTCTACTCATGATGAAGTTATAGATATTCCAATCTTTCCTTCACTCAGGAAAAATGGTCATCATAAATTTTATTACACATACCTTTACAATTTCAAAATAAATTAAATCAAAACGTAACAAAATCTAAACAATTACAATTTCATGGAATGATTATACCTCCTCGCAGTTCACAAAAAATTAAAGTACCAGTGAACCAAGCGAACGGAATAGGCATACTACACCATCTGAACTTAAAAAATGTTGCAGAAATGCCAGAAGCATTAGTAACTATAGAAAACAATTTTGCTTGTTGTTGATACAACAATAACTAATTTACGAGAAAATCTAGTTAAAATCAAATTTGAAGAACCTCTCGAAATAGAATCAATAATCAATTTCATTGAAAAAATGGAAACTTATGTTGAAATCGATAATTTGAATGACAATAAATTGAAACAAAATTCAAAAAATTTACGTTTAAATAATTGCAATAAAGAAAAATATACAGCTATTCGAAATCTTTTCTATGAATATCCTTTGACATTTTTAAGGAAAATACAATTGATAAAGAAGCAGATGACAATGATGTAATCAAAAAGCAAAAAAGAAAGGAAAGAGAGGACAAAAAGAAGCCAAGAAGAGACACCATACTAAAACCTGGAGATAAAGACCTCGTGCAGCAAACAATATTTGTCCACAAACTCGCAACTTAGTATGAAAATAGGGAATATGGAATAATGGAAATAAATGAAAATGAGGCGAAAATACTTGAAAATGGAAAAATAATTGAAACACATGTTTCTCACAACAAAATATCAGACAATTTATCAGTACCCCAAACACCGGAAGAAAAGAAGCAAGAAGACAATTCACCAGGGCCTGGAGACCAAAATGGAGCCAAGATCTTGGAGGGACTCAAGTCACAGGCCGACTTGAACCTCTTAGGCTGAAAAAACAGGACGGAATGTAGCAACCCGTTCGAGACCAGGTACTGGTGCTATACACCAGTACACCCGATAACTAAACGTCAACGTAAACGTCACATATATTAGGATTTCAGTTAGTCACTTGAATTGTTAGATTGTTATTTATTAAACCTGTTATTCAAGAGTGAAAGTGTGTTTTCCAGAATTGTTTTTCGTTTGTTGTTGTGCATATTGTTGAAGGCAAAATGATGATAATTGCCTCTGATTGCCTTAGATTTCCTCTTAATTTGAACACCAGATTACCCTTGCGGTTCATCCTTCGTAAATTTTCCATTTCAAACTCTCCAATTTTTGAAATTTGAAAATCTCTTCTCTGTGAGTGAAACAAAAAATTACTCACACTTCATCAGAGTATCGTCTCCTTCCATAAGAGATTTTTGGAAGTGGCTTTTGGAAAAGTTTCAATAGGTGAAAGGATACTTTGAATTGAAACTGAATTGTATAGCAGACCCAGTAAATATCTAATAATTTTCGGATATTTTATCAATTTTAACTGGCTATAAAATCAAGTGGCATATCTATTTTAATAAATGGAGCTCGAATTTTAGGATAGAAATATCAGCCCAAAAATAATTCAATTTTGTTCATATATATCGTTTTCTCGTGTAGATAATCAAATATTTTCAACCGAAATTGTTTGATACTAAATACAGTCTTTTTTTTTATTTAAAAAGTGTGAAAAATGATGGGTCCTGAAAAATCATTGCAAGATTTCTCGCGGGTGACCTTTTTAAGTGAGTTTTCATAAGCTACGACTTTTTTTGCCAATGGCCGTTAATTTAACCGGAACCTATGAAAACGAACTTAATAATTATTGTACAGTGGTCCAGCAGAAATCCTAATTAAGTTAATATTAATTTAGGAAATATTTTAATTCATAAGATTTACCTATGTTTATAGAGACCGGCTTTTGAATAACACTTTTGAAACTATAGCCAATTCAGCCTTTGGTATTCCAGGAAATCATTGTTCCAGCATTTGTCGAGGTCTCCGATATTTTTAATTATTACTACTACTTGTTGAAGCTTAATTTCACGCCTATTTGATTCGGTCTCTATTCAAAAGGTAACTTAAGAGGTTTTGGTGAAATAGTTTGCGGAGAATTTTGCGGGTGGCCATTTTTGAAGCGGTTTTTTACTGGCACTGGGAATTTAATTTAACCGAAACCTATGAAAACTGATTTATTAATTGTACAGTTGGTCCAGCAAAAATCTTAAATAGAGTGTTATTAATCATTAGTACCTATTATCTATGTATACCTAGCAGATTTTAGCTGATATTATTACTTAGTGCTTATCAAAGTACTGTTACCTAATTTAATATCATCGCAAAGTGTGCACAATTATAATGTAGAGATTTCTTGCGGGTGACCTTTTTAAGTGAGTTTTTAAAGGTTACGCTTCAAACCGGAATCTATCAAAACACACTTAATACAATGTAAAGCTGGTCCACAAGAAATCTTAGTTATTTTAAGGTTTTACTATTATCTAATTCAGAAATTAATTTTAGTTCTTGATATCCCCGAAATTTTGGATGGGGATCGATTTTTTGAAAACTTAATTTAAATATACTTAATTCACATAAAAAAAATATACATATTTTTTTGAATCTGATCACATTTTATTTGTAATACATACTTAGTTTTAAATTCGATCTCCGTTCAAAAAGTAGGGGATTGATTGGGATGACGACTTGAGCTTGAGGTGTATTAGTTTTTAAAGACTTCTCGCAGTAGATCTTTTTCAAGTCAGTTTCTATAAGTTCGTGTTTGTTTTTCTTTTGATCTCATCTCAGAAGTCTCAATTTTAATGTACATATTATTATTTTCTATTTTAAAATTATTATTATTTTGAACATTATTTGAGTGACTGGATTATGAGCTTTTTTTTGTAAGTCTGGAATGCTAGAAAAAAGAAATTAAAAACCCAAATTCCAATAATACATTTCCTAGATTCAATTTTGTTTTTTATGATTTCTTTTTTCTTGTATTGTTATTGTTTGTTGTAAATAAGTGATTTCATTCGCTTGGATCTGTTTTAAGCCAGTTTTTCTAAGTTGCTGCAATTTCTTCACGTTGATAAAGAGTATGAACTCAAGTAAAATGTAAAAAAATTGATCCAATAAATTGTACAGCTGGTCCAGCAGAAATCATAGTTAGGGATCCTATTTTAATAAAAATTCTGGAAACCGAATTTCGAGGAAATTCACATGAAAAATATTTTTTGTGTAGTTCTTATAAATTGCCTTTTTGCTTTTTTTCGCGTTGAAAAGTTGTATTTTAATCGGACTTGATTAATTGAAAAGCAGAGGTCAGCAGAAATCCCAACTTCAAGGTATTTGTAGATAATAATTATGTTATGTTATAGAAACTAACTTTAGTTTTTTTTATTTCAGTATTATATTTAGGAATATTAATTTTGTGATTTTTCTGTTTTATCTTTCTATTGTATTTAAAATTGGTTTTTATTAAATATTTGTTTTATCTTTGTATACTTTTATCTGATACCTATAAATCAGGTCGTAACTTGTTGGGGTACATACCAATTAGCTATTAGTGATTTCTTGCGCTTGAACCCTTTTTAGGTCATTTTTTTTAGCCTCTACTAACCAAGAATGGTCCCAAATCAGTTCTTGGTGATTTCTTGCCATTAGACCTCTTTTCTTGCGGTTGTCATGTTTCAATTCAGCGGCGACTTATAAAACCTAACTTGATAAATTGTAGAGTTTGGTCCAAGAGGAATCTCAATTCATAAGATGTATCTATTAAGAACTAATTAATTGTAAAATTTATAATTCTTGCATTTATTTACTTACTGTGACTGTGATCTTTTTAGGGTAGATTTTACTGTCTTAGATAAAAAAAAAAACTTTTGTTAACAATCCCAATTTACTGTAGGATATTGAGCTGATAATGACTACGTTTATTCCACGCATTATATCCGAATACTACGTGTATTGAGGATTATTAATCGATATTCTTTTATTTCACAAATATTAAATGGATTAAGATTAGTGCTAATCCTTCTCAAGCCTTTTTGAGAGCGCAAGCGCAAATTGCTTTGTGTCGTTTGTGTAATTCATTTAAGGCAATCAGCTGACACACAAACATAAACAATAAGTAGTAAATGAATTGAAGGCATATTATCATAGACGTGATGAACTATTTATAGAGAATGACATTCCTATGTAGGCCCTGAGAATTGTGATTGCAAAGAAACTACGTAAGAAGGTTATGGAAATGTTGCATGAAAGCTACAGCCAGATCCTTGGTATACTCGGAAACATTGGATAAGGAAATAGAGGAGATTACAAAAAGCTGTGTGCCACAGGCACCACCGAAAAGCCGGTTGCGCCATGGCCAATAGAAGATCTCTGTGGTCCAATAGTGCAATTAAATTTTCTAGTAATGGTAGACGCCTAGACGAATTGGATAGAGGTGTATCAAATGACGAAAGTGACCACTGAAGACATCATTGAGAAACTAAGAGAATCATTTGCCAGATTTGGCATACCAACCACAATGGTGAGCGACAATGTACCTACCTAATTTGGTATCATCAAAGATGCAACAATTTTGTAAACTGAACGGAGTCAAACATTTGAAATCACCTGCGAGTCATCAGCAAAGCAATGGAGCTGCTGAGAATGCCTTCGAATATTTCAAGACCAAACTCATCACGGCCTTGAAGGAACCTGAGAGCAGACACGGATCAATATCAACTCTAATATCCAGGATAATTTTTTGCATTGCTCGTCAAAAGCATCACCGGCTAGTTGGATGTACAGGGTGTCCCACTAAGGTCGGCCAGGTACGATATTATGGAAACCATAGACCTTACGGCTTCGGGATTTTTTTTTTCTTCACTAAATCGGCCAAGAGAAATTGATGGAAATTATTTACAAGTTCCTAAGATGACCGCTAGGGGGTGCAATTACGATGATGAAACTGAAGAATTGAATTTTGCTTACGTCGTGTGTACATCAGCTCTTGAATTTATTAGTGTTTTTGCAGTGTTATCGTGTGTTAAATTTTTTGAGTCTGGTATCGAGAGGAAGAGAAGACTGTCTACTGTTGAGCGATAAGAAGATTTTTATAGAAACCTCTGTTCTCTGTGGGAAAATTTCGTATTTTCAATCCTCGATGTCTGTTCAAGGTGAATAAACTTTATAAAAAAAGTACCAATAAGTTGGGTTTATTGTCAGTGAACCTAATTTGCATATTATTATAATTTGCATTTTATATCTCAAACATATCAGCTTTTTTTTTCTTTTGTGAGCAAATTAATATTTTTATAGTCCAGATAGTTCGGAATTATTGAAGAAAGCCTTACATCCACGCTCTTCTTCTCTAGTTAATTATGTCTCAGGGCGACGGTGGTATTTGTGCGGCATGTAATCAGGCTATCACCAGAAGACATTACTCAATTCTTTGCTTTTTATGTGATAAATGGAATCACAATAAATGCGTCGATCTATCGGTTCCTCAATTAAAATTTTATGAGAGCGAACTTAAAAAACCTGATGGTGATCGCTGGAGTTGTCTATCTTGCCTAAGAGAAACCGTACAGAAATCCCAGACGGCTCGTAAATCGATAGGTGGGGTGCAGAATAAATCAGGTATCCCTCCTGTATCCTCTGCTTCTATGACTCTGGAGGACATTATGCATAACCTCAACTGCATGGAATTGGCTAACAAGGACCTACTTGATATGTATAATAAGCAATTGGAAGTGAACAACCTTCTCTGCTCAGAGATGGATAACCTAAGTTCTAGACTTACCACTGCTGAGACTGCATTGAGGGATCTAAATCGTAATCCCCCTATGGAAGCAAGTGAGGAAGTTTTTCAGGAGTATCGTGATCGTGAAGAACGCAAAAACAACATAATCATTTTTGGACAACCTGAGCCTACCTCAAATGATGTTCATGATACTGATTCTGTAAACAGTATTCTTTGCTCCTTATGCTCAGATTTTGATGTGTCAAGTATTAAACAGGTATTACGTATAGGAAATATTCAAAACCAACATTCCAATAATGCTGTAGTTCGACCGCGTCCTTTGAAAGTATGCTTCACGAACACGACAAGTCCTGTGGAAGTCTTTAAGCAGTGCAGTAAATTAAAAAACAACGCGCAACTAAGACACCTTACAATTACATCTGATAAAACAAGAAAACAGATGCAGTTATACAAATCTGTTAAGAGCAGCTTGCTCAGCGTAAAAGCTCAGGTGAAAACAATATCACAATTAGGCATATAAAAGGAGTACCCACTATCGTTCCGGTCACGAGAAATGGAAACCAGTCGGAAAACTAAGCTCGTCCAGCAGAAACGTCCCCTTTAACACTATTCACTGCTGCTACCAGAATGTGCGGGGTTTAAATACAAAAACTTTGGATTTCTACTCCTCTGTGGCGGCCTCTGGTTTCGATATGATTGCTGTCACGGAAACCTGGCTACGATCTGAAATTAATGCCTCTGAAATCTTCCCAGACTTTTACAATGTTTATCGCGTGGACCGTAATTTCGAGTGTGTGGACGCCTTGAAGGGCGGTGGTGTGCTTTTGGCGGTTGACAATAAAATTAGATCTCAACTGGTTCCGCTGCCGAATCTAAAATCTATAGTGCCATTGATCGATTTTATTTGTTGTAAATTAATATTTGAAGCTTCTGTTGTTTTTGTGTTTACCATATACATACCTCCTTCTGTACTGAAAAATGATGTCGAGTTGTTTTTTGACTCGTTTCTTTCAAACAATTTAATTTACAGTAAGAACCTTATTGTGCTGGGAGACTTTAATGTGCCTCTTTTTGTTCACCATGACTTAACTGATTCTAAAAGCAACATCCTTAAAAACTTCATGGGTATATTGAATCTTACGCAGTATAATAGTGTTTTAAATGGTAATAACCGTATGTTGGATCTCATCTTTTCCAACACGCACTGCAATGTAATGAGAAATAATGTACCACTTGTGAACGAGGATGCACATCACCCATCGCTTTGTTTCGACTTTGAAGCCTCAACAACTCATTTTAGTAATTTTCAAGTAAACAAAACCCAGTTTAATGAATATAACTTCAGAAAATCAGACTTTCTTTCAATGTATGATTTAATTTTACATGCAGATTGGTCTCTCGTCTATAATTCTGCTGGTGTTGATGATGCATGCTCGGATTTATATGCTGTCCTTAATAGTATTTTTGACCGTTGTGTTCCAAAGAAAATCAAACGTAATCGCCGATATCCTACCTATTATACAAAAGAAATAATTGACAACATTCGCCTCAAAGAGAAAGCTCGCAAGAAATATCTCCGATTTCGCGGCCAAAACAACTACGAGAGATTTGATTCTCTTAGACCACTAGTAAAAAATCAAATTAACAACGCGTATGCGCAGTACATAAAAAAAATTGAATCATCTGTCAAATCTGATCCAAAAACTTTTTGGCCTTTTATTAATTCCAAAAAAAATGTCACTAGGATACCTGGGTTAGTTTTTAATAACGGTACACATTACTCAAATGCCCAAGAAATAGTGGAAGGCTTTGGTTCCTTTTTTCATGATGTTTATATTGATTCTACGCCCTATGATAATAACGAGTTTGCGTCATGTTCTGATTCCATCAACTTTTCTTTTGTTAATACCACAGATATTATTGATGCAGGCAAGAAGCTTAATAACAAATTAACATCGGGAGCCGACGGTATTCCTAGCTTTCTAGTTAGAGATTGTATTGGTGCACTCGCTGATCCTCTGCAGCATATTTACAACCTTATTCTTAAGACTAGTTATTTTCCTGCAGCATGGAAAGTGGCAAAAGTTATCCCCATTCATAAAAAAGGGGATATCTCCCAAGTCAGCAACTATAGGCCAATCTCTTTACTTTGTAATTTCTCTAAAGTTTTTGAAATTATTCTTTATGGTAAACTTTTTCCATATGTTAGGAACCAGATTGCGAATGAGCAGCATGGTTTTATAAACGGTCGCTCATGCGTCACCAATCTTGCTGTCTTGTCAAATGAAATTTGCGCAGGTCTGGATGGGCTTGGACAGGTTGACGTAGTCTATACTGACTTTCGGAAGGCTTTTGATCGCATTAATCATTTTATTTTACTTTCCAAACTTCAGGCCTTGGGATTGTCGGATGGGCTTGTCAGCCTGTTTCGGTCTTACTTATTCGACAGAAGTCTTTTTGTGCAGTATGAGGGCTTCAGGTCGTCGGTGTTTAACATCACCTCAGGTGTTCCGCAAGGATCCAATTTGGGACCATTTCTCTTCAATATATTTATTAACGATCTAATTACTGCTTTGCCCTGTTCAAAGCTCGCATATGCTGACGACTTGAAGCTTTTTACCTCTGTCAATGGTGAGGAGGACTGTATAAATTTGCAAGTTTGTCTTAATGACTTACACACTTGGTGTAATAAAAATATGCTATAATTAAATATTGAAAAATGCAATATTGTCAGTTACTGTAGAGTTAAGGAGCCAATTTTGTATCAATATGTTATTGAAGGAAAATCATTAAGTAGGGTTAACGAAATTAGAGATTTGGGTATAGTTTTTGACAGCCGCTTTACTTTTGTACCTCACATTGAATATGTAAGCTCGGCTGCCGTTAAAACGCTTGGGTTTATCATTAGAAATAGTAAGTACTTCTCAAATGAATTTACTTTTAAACTCTTGTATTTCACTTTTGTTAGGTCCAAGCTTGAATATGGTACAGTGATCTGGAACCCTATTTACGAGTGCCACGTTAACACAATTGAAAATGTTCAAAGAAAATTTTTAAAGTATGTAACATTCAGATTAGATGGGTCATATCCTCCCAGAGGCATTGAACATTGCCAGTATTTACAACGATTCAATATAGAATCGCTTTCAGTTAGAAGAAAAGTACTGGGTGTTAAGTTCTTGTATAACCTCCTACACAATGTAATCGACTGTCCCTCGCTATTGGCTGGGATTCAGTTTCGGGTTCCACGTCTGGCGGGGAGGTATGACTCAACGTTTCACTTGGGTAGGGCTAGGTCAAACATCTTAATGCAATGCCCCCTATATTTTGTGTGCTCTGTATTCAATGGTATTTCAGGTGTGTGCGATATTAATGAGGACCGATTGTCAATAATCATCGTTGCTTTACTGAACAGTTAATTTTTCTCTCTATTTTTGTTATTATTATTATTGATTGTTATTTTTATTATTATTATTAAGACGTCATGCTTGTAATATGTACAGAAAACTCATTTTTCCTGTAATTGGGACTTGTTCCTGTTGGAAATAAAGGCTTATTTATTTATTTATTTATTTATTTATAACTAAAAATTCAAATTTTCTCATGAAATCGCTATATTAAAATACTGTTTTAACAACAGAAATCAAAATTTATTCATTTTTGCGCCAGATTGGTTATAGGGCTTTTTCCGTATTTTCACTAATATGGGTGGGGAAAGTTGGTGAAAAAATAGTTTTAAAAATTGCTTTATCCTCCATACCCCTCATCCAAACTGATTATTACGAACACCACTTCGTTCGGTGCGATGGCTCCCACCGCTTCTTCTAGATGGCGCTGTTTAACCGAGATCCAGTTTTTTCTAATTTTCTTGAAAAATCCAAATTGCAGGATATTATTTTTTAATTCCTGTGCTCAAAGAGCAAAAAAATATCTACATTTTGGCGCAAACCGCAATTCAATATCTGCATTCGTTTTCAAGTTATGTAAGGTCTATGGTTTCCATAATATCGTACCTGGTCGACCTTGGTGGGACACCCTGTATAGGAGAGAATTGAGAACCAGAATGCGTAGTATGCGAAAAATCAACAAAGTTATAGATACCACTGATGGAAAGGCAATAAAAAACCTAAAAAAGGCTCCAGAATAACAAAAGAAGAACTATGGAGGGAGAGAGAGACGATTGACGTGGTGAAAGATTATAGAAATCGAATTAAAATTGCATGGACCGAGGCCACACTAATAAAGAAAATAAGAAAGGCAATATTTTTGAGTGAACTGAAGAAAGGTAACATTTATTTATATGACAATAATATTGATAACGTATACATGAATGAAAATAGTCTAACTAATTCTTCTTGAGTTCACAGCACATAGTTAGGTACGTACCTCAACCGCAGGTCGGGCCAGTTTCTCCTAGCTCCTCTAATGGTTCTAGCCGCCCCTCTTTTGCAAAATCACCACCATGTTCTGACTGTAAACTATATGATGTCATGTGCAATTATTTTGAGTGGAGGTTAAATTTATTAGACGAACAGGGCTCAGCGGACGTAATCAGAACGTAGTCATTATTACTTCAATATCCTACAGTAAATTGGGATTGTTAACAGAAGTTTTTTTTTTATCTAAGACAGTAAAAACTACCCTAAAAAGATCACAGTCTAGGTAAATAAATGCAAGAACCATAAATTTCACAATTAATCAGTTCTTAATAGCTACATCTTATGAATTGAGATTCCTCTTGGACCAAACTGTACAATTTATCAAGTTAGGTTTTATAAGTCGCCGCTGAATTGAAACAAGACTTAACCGCAATGAAAAGAGGTCTAATGGCAAAAAATCACCAAGAACTGATTTGGGGCCATTCTTGGTTAGTAGAGACCAGATTTTTAGGCATAAGCTAACAGAAAAAATAGACAAGAAACAATTAAAAAAATAAATTTAGAATTATAAAAAATACTTTGGTATATTTCCTCAAAATTTACTTTTTAGAATTTATATTTGAATAATTATCATCAGTATACGATCCCATTACGTACTAGGCGTCAAAAACAAAAACTAAGTTATCAATTTCTAATATTGATAATAAGTAAGT